TCCTGCTGTATTTGTGCTTTTAACAGTTCTAATTTTTGAGGAGTTAGCACCTTAAGACAAAAATAACAAGTCACATTCATTTATTTACACTGTGATAGGACAAACAGCCAGGAATAAAGTATTTCAAATAAGATTTTAGGAATCTTGCTTAATTTTCTATGTTCTTCTAAAAGAATTTTCAATAGTAGTTACAGAAGCAAAAAACCATGATATTAATGAACTAAAAATGTTCTGGATGATAACAGAAGCATTTAAAATGTCAGTATTTACTGGTAGAAGCAATACAAATGTCAAGCTGAATTGCCAAGAAATTTAGCTATCTCCTTTGTAGGGGAGGGGGGGGAAGGAAAAGTGGTCTCACATAAAAGATAAAGAATTAGCGTTTGGAAAAACTTAAAACAGTAAGTGAACCAACCTCGAAGAATCAAAATGAGCAATACTAAACCAGTTATTTGTAAATTAGACGCACATCCATCAACAGATACATGGGTACTAGTTTGAAACAAAGCAAAGATCAGGAAAGATTGCCTGCCTTAAGCTCTGAGCTGCATGGTATTTTGTTAAGTTTTCCTGGGTATGGCTAATACAGTAAACAATCTGTCAAGAAAAAGTGTTAAAAAAAATTTCATCCACAACCTGTTACATATTCTAATTTATTCTGCTTGTCTTCCACTTATCTGGTCCCCGAAAACTAACTTCAGATATGGTACTGAGGCACATCTCCTCCATTCAGAGTCTGGAATCCTTTGTTAGATGCTGTATTTGTTTCCTAAGAACATGTCCTGCATTACTTTAAGGAAACAAGCAGTTATAGAAAGTGTCATCCAAGACATCTTAAATGTTGGGGGGTTTTGGTTTGGTTTTGTTTTGTGTTTGTTTTTTTGTGGGTTTTTTTAAGATGAAGAAAGCTGTCACCACAAAGAGAAACAAATATCTGTTTTTCTAGTCACTTATCCTAACAGGTTTAGGCATCTAAGTTATCCTGGCAGATGATTCTCCCCATAACAGGAGACCACACACAGAGACTGAGGGTCTTAACATAGCACATAACAACAGGATTTGGCAGATTCATTTAAACAAGATGACAATAACTGCAACCCATAGTCACTCTCAAGAAGAAATATTACTCAGGTGGGGTGAATTTCAAAATATCTGAAATAGACTCAAGCTAGGTGTATACATGTTACATAAACAGAAATACGTGCATGGCCCTATTAACAGGATTACAATTCATTTTAAGTCCTGCCAGTAAATTCTCTCACTTGCATCTTCAGTTTTTCCAGTTCTTGTGTTTTACCCAGCAACTCCTCTTGGTACTCAGCAAGGAGAAACTGAAATTTGTCATGTACAGTCTGCTTTTCAACTAACAACTGCTTCAGTTCATCTTGTGATTTTGTATATTCCTCCTGTAATCTGCAAGATAAAATACATATTTATTTTATATATATCCTTTAAAATTAGATCTTAAAGCTTAAAAAAAACTCACGTGCAGAAGCAAACATACACATATCAAGCTAGAACTAAGCTATTAATATCCTCTTCCTGTAATATCCTGAAAAGTTCTCTCATATTTACGAGCATAAAAAGTATTGCAGAAACATGATCTGCAATGTTTTAAGGGATTTTGAATTGTTTATTTTCTAACATGAACAATGCTCAAATCTGTCCTTAAATACAGAAATAGCCAACACACACACACAAATCCTTTCTGCCAAACATTTAGCTTGCCCTTTTAACAGTTCTAATGAAGAAACTTGTTTAAATTAGTGTACCTTAGATGTTCTGCCTTTATAGTTTGATAATTCACTTTATGGTGTTCACATCGCATTTTTTCATCAATCAGAAGTTTTTGTAACTCTTGTGCATTAGCTGTATCACCATTTCCGGCCACGGGTGGAAGGACACTGCCCAAAGTATCCATTTTGTGATGACTGTTTACAATGAGCATGGAGAAGACAAAATAAAAATCAATTTGTAACTAATCTACAACGCCATCCACTTTTTCTGCCCACATCCCAGATCATCAAGTTACCTGAACAAACACAGGGACATGCAGTTAGCAATCAAGTACACTCACAGTTCAAAGATTTCACGTGCTGCTTTTGCTTTCAGTACAGGAGAATCCTGGCTCTGATGCAACTCAGGCTAGAAACCTCTACTGAAAGGGCAACTCCTCTCTCCTCATTTTGCCTGCCCTGAAAAGTAATAGCCCTTCCAGGGCACGGGATCAACTTAAACATGGAGATCATTTGAGACAATACAAAAAAGCACAAGCAGTTCTGACAGATTGCAAGAAAGGTTATTTTTACTTCTGCTGTACACTGAGAATCAACCTGTGATGCTAGCAATGCCCTAATTATGCCTTGTTAACCACAGGTCAAGCAGAGGCCGCAGACATCGGACACATACAGCTTCTACTACTACTTATCACAGTCTGTCACACGATCCTAACAAGTTGTACTACTCGATACACCATCATTTCAGCTGGAAGAAGAGCAGATAATTCTTACTCTTGAATTCCTATCAAGCTCTCTGGAGAAGAGTTAAGGTTTCATGGACAGTCTGGAAGATACCCAGCCAAAGTTCTGCCCTGAAATATATCACTGATATATGTAATTTCCTCATTTTCAAAGTTCATCTCGTGGTTTCTTGTGACCTTTCCAGAAAAAGTTTTGCTAAATACGACAATATCAAATTGGTGTGAGAAAGCTGCAAATCAACAGATGCTGAGAAATGAGGAAGTATAATGATATGCCTCATTAGTTCTTTCTGATATTAGAAGCAAGATGCATTAATCTGATCATTACTGACACTTCTAAAGGATCTGGGGGAGGGAGGACTGTCCCTGAATTTTAGGGAAGTTACAAAGCTTTGAAACCAACTACTCTGCCATTTTAGCTTTTGATATAACTGGATTGATGCCCAAGAACTTCATAGTTGCAGTGTACAAAGTGTAGTTCAAAGCTACAAAGTGTAACTTTGTACAAAGTAAAACCCAAACAGGAAAAACGTTAAATCTCCACCATCACTGCAATACCTCACCTTCTCTGCCTACACAGTCAAATACACAATGTTTTCTACTCTTCCACTCTTTAAATCTTTCAAGGATCTATCTTAAACACCTACCATTTGATTTTATAAACCCCTGAACACAAGCAAGATAAAAATCTAGCTTTCCTATAGGAAAATAAACTCATGTCAGTGCCCATTCCACTAAAAGACATAGTAATGTCAAGAAAGTCTTACATTTAAGTTTTCTTTCCCATTTTTTCTCCCTCCATCACTAAGATGGGAAAAGGTCAGAGGAAAATCTACCAGAGTTACAACACTAGTATAGGTAAAGTGACAACAGCAACTTTTTATTCTGCTTTACCCAAATGTGCTGAGACAATAAGGGGGAAGAAATCAGAATTAAAAAAATTCTCCTCAGTGACTGTCCTATATGCCCAACCCATTTCAAACATTAACAGCACAAGTTCTAAAGAACCTTCTAATCAATATAGTATCTATTTTTCATTCCTGAATTTTGTTGGTTGTTGAGAAACAAAGGACTACAGCAATAGCCAAACTCAATCTAAAGACATTTTCAATTGTTAAACCAACAGCTGTATGAGGAGAACTGGCCAGTGACCCTAAGGACAATAAATGATGTTAGAGGACAGAAAGTTCTGGTACACAGAGAAAACCCAAGGCAGCATATTCATAAGAATTTCTAACATAACAACAGAGTTATCATGCACTGTAAAGAAAAAAAAAAATAAAATAAAACACCATGAACAAATAAACAAAACCTCAACCACAAGCCAATAGCACTTTGCTCTGTCTCAGGTCTTTGCTTTCATAAGCTACAGATAACAAATGTAACTATCAAACTGTAAGCCAAAGCTCAGAATTAGGAACACAGGATTTAAAATCAGGTCTGAATCCTGCAGCTTACTTGAGTAAGAAGTATTTGTGAAGTGACACAACAGAAATAAAGCCAAAGACATCAAAAAACGCACAGCCTTTTCTGAGAGCATATCAACCAAAATAAAAAGATAAATGGAAACTCAGTCTCTTGTACTCTCATTTCCAAGCAGCTGCAGGTGGGAAGTGTATTCTCACAGCTTTTGTTACTATCGAAAAGTGCACAAATTATAAAGCAAGACACACAACTGGTCATGTATTCATCTGCATGAAGATTTCATGAAAAAGAAAAAAGGAAAGATCAGAGAGAAAAATTGTAGCTTACAAACCAATTGTTTCAGACGGCACAAACCTAAGGAGTATGTATTTAAGGAAACACAACTACTCTGGCTTGCAGGGACATCTAGTGGCAAATTTCATGATTTGCATTCCTGATGACAACTGAAACAAACGACAATAACATAGAGATTTCATTACTTCACGAGAGCTCTTTCCTTGAAATCATTAATAGCAACTTGTAATATTTAACCTACTCACATTCTTACAAATAAAAAACTTTTCCTTTTTTTTGGCAGTGAGCTGTCAATAGTCAACATCATTAAGGGCTACAAATATTGTAAGTGTATTACTAACAAGAATTTCTTCTGTGCTAATGGCTTGCAGTACTCGTTCATAGTGAATGAACAGACCTTAAATAATCTTCAAAATTACTCAAGACTACACCCATAATTTTTGAGAAATACTTTAAAAGAACACTAGCTAAAATTTCTTCTTTAGAGATCTGTTCAAGTAGAGAACCATAAAACATACTTTAAAGAAACTAAAACCACATCATATCTAAAATTCATTTCCCGCCTATATATTTGCCAAATTTTATCAAGTTACAGAACTGCAAACTTGTACCAGTTGCCCCAAATTCATACTATGAAATCTTAACATCATTTTGTGCAGGTATACATATATAGGTATTGGTGCAGAGTCCTGAAACCTAAGAAATGTACATTCAGCAGCTAAACCAGCAATATTTATTGTAGAATATCTAGTTAAGCGAAGTAACTCAATCACATTTCCAAGAATCCCCTTTGTTTTACCTTTCTTCTCCAATTGTTTATTTACTTCAGAGAGAAACATTGCCTAAAGACCTACTTCACATCTCTCTTCTTTATATCTACGCATCACAAAATAGCTTTTCTTCTTTTACAAGATTTTACAGCTGTATCATTTTAACTTTTTGTCTGCTACAAGCACTTAAAATGGTGAGAATCTCTACTTGCATTTAGAGAAAAATATGAAGATATCAATATGATTTTATTTATTTATATTACAATTTTTATTTTTATTGTAGGTTGTTTACAACAACAAGGCTTCCTTCCAGCTTACTTGGCATAAGCAAATTACACGAATTCAGCATGTATTGCTAATTCACCCAGGTGATATATGTAACTCACTCATGGTTCTGCTTTCCATACCACAGCCACACTTAAAACACATAAATTTACCACATTTGAGCACTATTTAAAACAGTTAGATGATACAATTAATGTAATTTTGCAACTATTGATGAAAAAATTAACAGTATTTAGCTTTATGCCGTGTTTTGTTCAAGCAGTAATTTTTTCAGTAAAATCTGCTGAAAGCCCAACAGCTGTTGCACACCATATATGGTTTAATCTATTTGCCTGCTTCTGCCAGAACTCTAGACCTCTTTATATGTTCTGTTTGGTTTTTTTTTTTCCTAATGGAATCGGCCAAGGTATTGTGAAACAATAATCTATTTGCCTGAAAGAATAAGTGACACACTCAAAGGAAGCACAGCCTCATGCAAGTGACTATTCAAACACTACCCCTTCTCATTGCTGCTTAAGAGTCTACAGTAAGACTACATAATGAACTAATGAAAAGTAGTAATCCAATACAATCGCTCAATGTTACCAGGAATGGGAGGTTCCACTCCTCCTTTCTTCATCCACATTGCTAGATTTGTCATTCATCAAACCCTTCCATGAACTGATTTAACTCAAGAAGCCAACCAACTCACTTAAACAAGCAGAAAACAATAGTTTTTCTGTGAGGTCAGTGAGTCATGCTAGCTCTTGGAAATATCCAACAAGCTACATCATCAGTGAAAGTAGGCAGCTGGTACTAGCTAGGAGAAAGGAACAAAGAGCCAAGCAAACAGGCAGAAGGAGAAGCAAGGCTTTCTCCTTTCAGAAGCAGAGAGTTGTCACATCATGAGCTCAGATGTTCACAAAATGGACTAGCCTTGGACTAGATATCTAGCTTTTAGACAGTCAAAGTCAAGTGAAATAAATCCTACCCTAAATGACTATGTAACACATGAGAGATCAGACTTCCTATGAACATTGAATGAATAAAGAACAAAACAAAATTATATATAATGAGAAATATGATAGCATACCTCTCATTAATTTAATAGTCCATATTCTACTAATCAACCATCAGCAACCTGCAACAAAGTAATCACCTTAAAGAAAAATTAAAAAAAAATAGAGAGGGAAAAAATATCAAAGAGAAACATGAAAACCTTTATTACAGCAAGTTCCATAATTTGGATACTGCTCAGACATCACTGTAGAGAATTCAGTGGAAATAAACACTTAATACCTTTGTGTGCTGAAGTGTAGAAATTTTGGAGAACCTCTGTATGACTTCTACACTACAGAAGACATCAGTTTCATTCAAACTACTATCACTTCCTCCACAACACAGTTGTACAATAACCAACAGCAATTAAGCATTGATTATTTCAGTGTCCATCCCTACACATGGCACAGAGTTATCACCCCTCCAATTTGTGTCTTACACTGGAGATACAGTTAATGATTATGATAGGGGGATAGGCATAGGTATAAAACTATATTAGCTACTATTTCTATAGATAGTTAATATAGTTTTATACCTATACCTATTATTTCTATAGATACATATAAGAGTAGACACAAAACTGCATAAAACTCTGGAATACATAGCTCTGTGAAGTAGCTCTGTGAAATG